TAGTGGTTTATTGGAGATAAGAGTCTCACAGACTTTCCTGCCTGGGCTGGCTTTGAACTGTGATCCTCAGATCTCAGCCTCCTGAGTAGCTGGGATTACAGGCGTGAGCCACCAGCGCCCAGCTTAATCAACAGCATTATGGTCAGACATTATCTCACTTATGGCATGTTTAAGATGTTCACTCAGAAATACACATTTCTGCTGGCTGCCAGTGGCTCACGCTGTAATCCTAGCTACTCAGGAGGCTGAGATCTGAGGATCCGTAGGATTGGCAAGGGGAAAAAAAGAGTATATAATTTGCAATATCAGTTTTTATTTGGTGTGACTTTTACATGGTGTGACAGTTTATTTCTGTCCCTTATTTCCAGATCTGGTGGCCAAGTTTATTATTCACTAAATTTTAACATATTTAATTAATATACAAGTGGGTTATGTGGTATGGACATTGAGATGGCTGACTTATAGCTAACTGATGACAATATGGTTCTTTGAAAACAAATGTCTAACATTTATATTTCTTCTGCAGCCACAAAATGACTATGAAGTTGATGGATTTGATGTAGTCATATTTTTGTTTTCATATAATTAGTTAAGAAACATTTTCATTTTCTTTAACAAAGGTGTTCTTAAGAAAAGTACTTTTGGAATTTTAAAACTTTGAAACCAGAGAAAAGCTTTAATATTACTTGCACTTTGTAATTTTAATATGGAGTTTCTCTGTACATTTTAAACTAATATTTGAACAAAATCATCCAAATATTTAACAAATTACAAATTTAACAAATTCCCTATGTGGGCAGTTGAGATGATACCTTACCAAAAAGTATTATTAATGACAGGAATTCTGGGCAGGGTCATGTACAGCTGTAATCCCAGTTACTAGGAGGCTAAGGGAGAAGAATTGTGAAATCAAGGTTAATTAGGCTATTATGATAAGATTCTGTCTTTAAAAAAAAAAAGAAAAGAGGGGAAATAAGGCTATCAGAGACTAAGAATAAGAATAAGAAGTAGACATTTAAGCCTTTTGGGGTTATTTTGGTCTTGCAGATTGATCTTTTCAAGAAAGCTGGATGGACCATAGTTACTCCACCAATACCGGTCATCCCAGATGGTATGTCTGCTTATATTTATTTATTTGTTTGTTTGTCAGTCGGTCATGGGGCTTGAACTCTGAGCCTGGGTGCTATCCCTCAGTTCTTCAGCTCAAGGCGAGTGCTCTACCACTTGAGTCACAGCACCACTTCTGGTTTTCTGAATGGTTTATTGGAGATGGTCTCATGGAGTTTCCTGCCACTGAAGCCTTCTGCTTATATTTATACTATAATAAAGTAAAGACTTCAGTGACCAAGGATCCTTCATCTATGTAGAGCTGGCCAAATTTTAGCAACATGGAGAATTTAGCTGGGTGCCAGTGGCTCACACCTGTAATCCTAGCTACTCAGGAGGCTGAGATCTGAGGATCATGGTTCAAAGCCAGGAAAGTCTGTGAGACTCTTATCTCCAATTAACCATTAGAAAACTGAAAGTGACATGTGGTTCAAGTGGTAGAGCACTAGCCTTGAGCTGAAGAGCTCAGGGAGAGTGCCCAGGCCCAGAGTTCAAGCTCCCTGACCAACAAATTTTTTTTTAATTTTAAAAATTAAATACATATATATAATGAGAGTGAGGGAAAGGGAGAGAAAAATAATTTAAAGACTATATTTTCCTAAAATGTAGTAAAGTGGTGGCTGTGAATATGAGAATAAGGCTGGGTCTTGTGTTTGCAATGTTTCCTGCCATAGAAAATAGAAGTGAGGGCTGGGAAGGTGGCTCAGTGGTAGAGCACTCGCCTTGCATGCTTGAGGCCTTGAGTTTGATTCTTCAGCACCACATAAGCAGAAAAAAAAAAAGCCCGAAGTGGTGCTGTGGCTCAAGTGGTAGAGTGCTAGCCTTGAGCTGAAGAGCTGAGGGACAGCGCCCAGGCCCAGAGTTCAGGCCCCACGACCGGACCCAAAAAAATAGAAAAATAAAAAATAAAAGTGAGAAGACAGAATGAAGCAACATCACATAAAGCAATATAGGATCTTTTTCAAAGAAAATAGGATGAACTCAAATTGTGCCATGAGTGTGGATTGATTCCTAACATTCACCAAAAAATAGTTTTAAGATTAAAATAACTTTTCAGGGTTGGGAATGTAACCCAGCAATAGAGCACTTGTCTAACATGCTCAAGTCCTAAGGTCTAATCTCCAGTACAAAAAAAAAAGAAAAGAAAAGGAAGGAAAGGAAGAGGAAGGAAGAAAGGGATGGAGGGAGGAAGAGAAGGATGGAGGAAGGAAGGAAAAATGGGTGTGGTCTGTAATCCCAGCACTTTATTGGCTGAGGCAGGAGGATAGAGAGTTCACGTCCAGCCTAGGTGACAAAGAGTTGATAAATAAATGAATAAAAGATCCTAGGCTACACAGAGTTGATAAATGAATGAATGAAGTTTTTCACAAAGGAAGTGCACCAGGGAAAGAATTAAGCTTTAATATCTTTCACCTATAAATTATTGGCTCTAAGCAAAATTGGCACTGGACGTGTTTGAACAGTTGTTGCTATTTTCAGATCACCCACTCTGGATGTCATCCAAATGGCTTTCCATGAATGTCTTAATGTTAGATGAAAAACGTGTTATGGTGGATGCCAATGAAGTCCCAATCCAAAAGATGTTTGAGAAGCTGGGTATGTAGAATAAATGGAGCTTTTGTCAAATGTGAGTGTTGAATAAGATCGGAGAAACTGAAATTGAAAGTCACATGTATGGTTTATCAAATTTAATTTCTATTCCGCTTAGAGGTACTTAACTAATACTTTGTAAGTGGCTAGTATTTTGACTTTGTTTTCAACAAGAAGTTAGAGCTTGGGGGGACAACAGCAGTGGTATTCACTAGACACTATAATGAAAATGAACCGTACATGTCATGGGTGGAGATGGGAGGGAAAATCTGGAAAAAACCAAGGGAAGGGGTGACATGGTCCAAAAAGCAACATACTCATGGCCAGGTGCTGGTGGCTCATGCCTGGAATCCTAGCTACTCAGGAGGCTGAGATCTGAGGACTGCAGTTTAAAACCAGCCCAGGCAGGAAAGTCTGTGAGACTCCTATTTCCAATTGACCACCACCGAAGTGGGGCTGTGGCTCAAGTGGTAGAGCACTAGCCTTGAGCTAAAGAGCTCAGGGACAGCATCCAGACCCAGAGTTCAAGCCCCACAACCTACCAACAAAAAAAAAAGTACTCATTATCTGACTTATGTAACTGTAATCCCTCTGCACCTCACCTTTATAATAACAAATTTTAAAAAAAGAAGAAGTTGAAGCTTGTCAGGCACTGACGGCTCACACCTATAATCCTAGCTACTCATCAGGCTGAGATCTGAAGATCCTGGTTCAAAGCTAGACTGGGCAGGAAACTCTGTGAGACTTTCATCTCCAATTAAGCACCAATTAAGCTGGAAGTGAAGCTCTGGCTGAAGTGGTAGAGAGCTATCCTTGATCACAAAAGCTCAGGGACAGTACCCAGGTCCTGAGTTTAAGCCCCAGACCTGGCACAAAAAAAAAGTTGGATCTATATCTGAAGCCACTGGAATTCTCCCTTAGTGATAAGTTTATCAGTTTTCTATGACTACTAGTTGCCTGGTCCATCTATGGAATTATTTCTTTGCATATACATTGGTGAGTCCTTCCTCAAATAAGAAATTATTAAGACATAAAAGTAAATGCATGTATTAAAAGGCTTATGAGAGTACAACTAGACAGAACAATGCAGACAGACATCATCTTTTTAAAGTACTACTGTAACTAATACAATTGACTCTTTCCCTAAGTACTGCTAGTTAAATAGACCTGTACATTCTAGACTTATTGTTATAAATGGTACCAGATTAAACTAGTTCTCCAACTAGCTTTGATACATGTAACCAGCTTTGATACTAACCTACCGATTTTGGTCCATTGTTTCCTTAAGATGTCCTGGCAAAGTTAATCTGTATCAGATAAAAATCTCCTTAGATGTTACTATGTAAAGCCAATGTTCAAGTTGGCTAAATTATACTTTCCCTACTAAATTAACAGGATAAAAGTAGAAATTTTTTGACAAAATCTAATTGTAAAACAAGATCTTAGGATTATAATTTTTTTTGGTCGTCGGTCTTGAATTCTAGGCCTGGGTGCTTTTCAGCTCAAAGATAGCACTCTACCACTTGAGCCACAGTGCCACTTAAAACAAGTATCTTGAAATTTTAGTGCTTGATTATTTTTTAATGTGTGGTGGGCAAATCTACTTATCTAGTCTGTTGGCTTGTGAATAGTCAGTAGAACAAAATTTTAGGGTCTCTGTTAACTTTCATGTGAAGATTTTACATTAGCAGTGAGATAGATTAAATGAAAATGGAACTGTTGAAAAAAAGAGGAAGAAAGCTAAACATACTGGGGTTGAGCTATCTTGAAAGGTTAGAACTACAGGCTAACTACAGGATTCCATCAAATCTTCAGGCTTATTCTCTTTGGGAGAGAAACTGTATGTTAGTCTACCTAACTGATCTTGTCTCTCTTTCTATCCAGGCATCAGTACCATTAAGGTTAACATTCGTAATGCCAATTCCCTGGGAGGAGGCTTCCATTGCTGGACCTGCGATGTCCGCCGCCGAGGTGCCCTTCAGTCCTACTTTGACTGAGTAGGCCTGGTGGGGCTTGAGACATGGCCTTAGAAACACCTGAAGAAGCTTAGGGGCAAGGTTCATTCTCCCGCTTTAAAAACTGCATGAATTGTAGTGCTTTAAACAATCATATCCTTAACAGGGGTCTCAAGCCTGGTTTACTTTTATTACTTTTCTTTGACATAAGGAAAATAACTTCTACTAAGTTTTCCTTTCTTCTAAAGTTAGTTACTACTTGTCTTCAAGTATAAAAATTGGGCAAATGTGTACCAAGACAAAAATTAGTCACTTGGATAACTTGGCCACTAATATTTAACCATCTACCTCTGTTTTTTTTAATTTTCTTTCCAAAAGGCAGCTTGAAATGTTGGTCCTAATCTTAATCTTTTTTTCCTTTTTGATAGACTCATGAATGTTTGTATGACTTCTTTTTTTTCTAAATGAGAGAAAGACTTGGAAAGGTACAGATCCTAAATAGAGCCAAACAACTCTCTTTTTCTGAAGAAGAATTTGGGAAGTTCTTAATTTTTTGTTTTTAAAACAATAACCTAGACTATGCAAACATTAAAGTGGATTTTCCATGAATATTAACATTCTCATCTCAGCAGTTATGATATGTGTTACTAAAACCCATGTCATACAACTTACCTCATTTCAAGTGAAGTATTTTTATCTTGATCTTTTCCTCTTTCCAAAATTTTTCACAACTATTTAGTATACTAGGAGATAGCTATCAATTCCCACCCCTGAATTTTAATGCTCAATATCTAATAGGTACATTGCATCTTTAGCAATCTAAGATCTGTTTACATATGTGCAAATTATTTAAAGCATAGATTTAAAAGCATTTTTAAAGCTAATGGTGGTAAAAAAAAACCTATATGCAATGTGAAGTAATTTTAATGTTGGATACTATACATGTATTTTTATTCTAATAAACTTTTGTGCTTCAGATTGGATTTTATTACAGTTCCTTGACATCAGTCTAATTATTCTAGTATAAGTAAATTGCAGAATGTAGCTCTTATGACAGAATTCTAATTCTCTGAAATAATCAAGAATATTCATCCCAAATTTGGAACTAACATTTGTATTCAGAAATGTTTGTTTAGGACTGGGAATGTGGCTTAGTGGAAGAGTGCTTGCCTAGCATTCATGAAGTCCTGGGTTTGATTCCTGGGTACCACATAAACGGAAAAAGCCGGAAGTGATGCTGTAGCTCAAGTTGTAGAGTGCTAGCCTTGAGCAAAAGAAGCTCAGGGACAGTGTCTAGGCCCTGCGTCCAAGCCCCAGGACTGGCAGGAAAAAAAAAAGGAAAGAAATGTTTATTTAACAAAGTCAGACTTTCGTTTATTAAAATTTAAAAAATAACTGAATATCTATCTGAGACTAATCCTGAATCTCAGAAAAGTGAAAGAAATCTAAGTTCTGGAGTTATTGAGAGCTTTACTCATGAAAACTCTGCATAAAGTGTGTACTTTGAAGATTCACAGGTTTGAACCACAGCATCACTTCCGGTTTTCTAGTGGTTTATTGGAGGTAAAAGTCTCCTGAAGCTGGGCGCAGGTGGCTCACGCCTGTAATCCTAGTTACTCGGGAGGCTGAGATCTGAGGATCGTGGTTCAAAGCCAACCCTGGGCAGGAAAGTCCATGAGACTCTTATCTCCAATAAACCTCTAGAAAACCGTAAGTGGTGCTGTGGCTCAACCGGTAGAGCACTCGCCTTGAGCTGAAGAGCACACGGACAGCACCCAGGCACAGAGTTCAAGCCCCACGACAGACTAAAAAAAAAAAAAGTCTCATGGACTTTCCTGCTGGGGCTGGTTTTGAACTGCAATAGGATTACAGGTGTGAACCACCAGTGCCTGGCCAAAGCAATCCCTTATCCACAGGTCAGACCTTTTTAAAAATGATAACATGATCACTTTTCATTTGAGAGTGACCACTTTCTTATAAAATCCTATATTAAAAAATGTATAGCCAAGTGATGGTGGCTCATTCTTGTAATCCTAGCTACTCAGGAGGCTGAGTTCTGAAGATCATGGTTCAAAGCCAAAATCCTCATGAGACTCTTATCTCCAGTAACAACTCAAAAATCAGAACTAGCACTGTGGCTCAAGTGGTAGAACTCTATCCTTAAGCACAAAGAGGCTCAGGGATAGCACCCAGGCCCTGAGTCCAAGCCCCATTGACAAAAAAAAATGTACATATAGGATCCATACATTTGTACTAATCAAAGAGATAGTCATATCATCCATTACATGCCTATAATCTCAGAACTAGGAAGGTGAAGAATTTGAGGTCAATGTAAGCTGCATAGCAAGACCCTATCTCAAAAGAAAAAAAAATCTAGCAGGAACTTTCTCATAATTCTGAACTGATTAAAAGCATCCTTGGGGAATTGGTGGAAATGAGGAGCCATCAACAACTATAGCAGGTAAATCACCCTGGAGAGGATCCATACACAAAAGATCAAAGGATCGACTTGTTTATTAATACAATGAACTTCCCCCATGGAAACTCCCAGTAATATGCTCCTGTATGTAACATTTATACTTTAGAACTGAGTTTCTTTGGGGATTGCCCTCCAAGGTAAACATTTTTCTGATACCACCCACTACAGTTATGTCCTGGGGTTATGGGGACTATCTCATAAACATCCAATAGCAGAGCTGTGAATTGAGAGAAATGTTTGGCACTTTTTTAGTTCAAAGATCCAGAGGTCACCACTGAGCAGTAGCTGTGGAATTCCAGTTGGCATGAGTGTAGCTGGCTAACATTTCTGACTTCATCTCGTCATTGCGGTAACAGGCTACAGCCTTTTGCAGTTCTAAGTTTTGTTACAGCTCCTCTAACAAATATAGCCTTCTCTGGATAGTTTCTCTTTTTTCTTCTTCTTTTGTTGGTACTAGGGTTTGAACTCAAGAGTCTTCTACTTGCCAGACACGTGCACTGCCACTCAAGACATACTCTCAGCCCTTTTCTGAGTATTATGGATTTGGGCTAAAAGAAGGATACAATTTCTTCCAAAGCCAAATGGATCCACTAGGTGTTGAACCCCTAATTTAGTGTAAGAGGATGGAAGCAACAGCCACTCAGTTCTACTTCCCTAAACTATGTCAAGTGTAGCTCTAGCTCATGTAGGCCTTCAAATTTTCAGACTGTGTGAGGCTCCAAATTTTTTTAAATTAGTTATACTGAATTATCTGATTTATGATCTTGATATGGCACTTTTAGGGTTTTTTTAATTTTTATTTTTTGCCAGTCCTGGGTCTTGGACTCAGGGCCTGGGCAATGTCCCTGCACTTTTTTTTTTTTTTGGTCGGCCGTGGGGCTTGAACTCTGGGCCTGGGCACTGTCCCTCAGCTCTTCAGCTCAAGGTGAGCGCTCTACCACTTGAGCTACAGCGCCACTTCCAGTTTTCTGGTGGTTTTATTGGAGATAGGAGTCTCACGGTCTCTCCTGCCCGGGCTGGCTTTGAACCACGATCCTCAGATCTCAGCCTCCTGAGTAGCTAGGATTACAGGCATGAGCCACCAGCGCCCGGCTTCCCTGCACTTTTTTTTTGTTCAAGGCTAGCACTCTACCACTTGAGCTACAGCATCACTTCTGGCTTTTTCTGTTTATGTGGTACTGAGGAATCGAACCCAGGGCTTCATGCATGCTAGGCAAGTACTCTACCACTAAGTCACATTCCCATTCTGGTACTTTTAGTTTGATCTTTAGTTCGGGGATAATCATAATGTTAGTGTTTTAGAACATCGTGTAGATTGGGTGGTGACACACACATGTAATCCTAGTTAATCAAAAGACAGTGATCAGGAAAAATATGGTGCAAGTCTAGACTGAGCAAGTTCGTGAGACACCATCTCAACAAATAATCTGGGTGTAGTAGTAGTCCCAGCAATGTGGAAGACATAAGTAGGAAGATTGTGGTTTGAGGATAGCCCTGGACAAAAACAAGAAACTCTATCCAAAAATTAAAGCAGAAAGGACTTGGGGGATGGCTCAGCAGCAGGGTACCTGGCTAGTAAGCAGGAGGTCTGAGTTCAAACTCCATTGATATAATTTTTTTTTCTAGTTGAACTTGATCTAGGTCCTATTTGACATGTTTATGGTAACACATTGCAGAGTTCAATATGTAAACATAGTGTGTTACCTGTCCTTGACTGGCAATGAGCACAAAACATTTTCTTTGGGATCCCATAGAATGAATCGTCCCATTTCTTACTCTCTGTAGGCAGTGGGACTTCCTTCCCATACGGTGTTCTCTCCATCAGATTCATTCTTCCTTCAGCTGTTGTCCAAAGGTTTGCAGGTGTGTCTCATTTTTAATTCTCTTCCCTTTTCTTAGTCTTGTGAACTTTTGTCTTTTTATTCTTCTACTATCCTTTCAGGGCAGCTTCAGGAGAAAGCAAAATGTTTATTTTTAATCTATTTCAGCCTCTAATCATATTAAAGTCTTTTAATAGTTGGTTAAAAATGCTCCCCAAAACTCCTGATGGGATTTTATAGGAAGCTTGGTTGACCCACAATTGTGCTTGCCTATTTAGACTCCACAGGATATAAAACTCATGAGGCAGATACCAAGGCTAGGAATAGAGATGTCAATGAAGTACCATGGCCTTAGAATTTATGTTGTTTGTTTGTTTGTTTGTTTACCAGTCCTGGGGCTTGAACTTGGGGTCTGGGCACTTTCCTTGAGCTTCTTTTGCTTAAGACTAGCACTCTACTACTTGAGCCTCAATGCTACTTCTGGCTTTTTCTGCTTATGTGGTACCAAGGAATCAAACCCAGGGCCTCAGGAATGCAAGGCAAGCACTCTACCATTAATCCACATTCTCAGCCCTGCTACAGAATTTGAGGATCTCCAAAACATCCAGTAACATGGATAATTACATTGTACAGTATTTATGAAAATTAAAAATTGCTATCTGGGGGCATAGCTCAGTGGAAGAACACTTGCCTAGAATATTCAATACCTGGGGTTTAAATCCTACTACTGAAAAAGAAATTCATAACCAAAATGTCAGAATCTTAAATGTGGGTAGGATTAGTATCGCTGATACTAATCCTCAGAGTTCTGTGTGGCAGGACACTGGCTATACACTAGTAAGAAAGGGACAAAATGGAACTAAGCAACATTATCAGCTACCTACCTTCAAGTCAAAATTTCTGGGTAGTCTAGAAAACCTCTAGCCTAGAATTGGATTAATATAATACATGAATCAAAGAATAAACACATAAGTATAATGAATGATACCACATATTGATTTTGAAATATTAGTGATCATTGCTTAATCTAGTATTAGACTGCCTACTTCATTTTATCTATATTGTAAGGACAACCTTTAAATTCATTCTGAACTCTTCTCAAATTTGGTTTCTGAGGGCCAATAGGTCTGGGAATGTTTAGCAGCAGGGTCAATATTAAAGCCCTGTTTCTTCTGTTAAGGCTTTGACAGTGTTAAGACTGCCATCTATTACTCTTAAGGAAGTCTTACCTGATTCTTCCTAGTTCTCCTGATTGTCTCTGAGTTTCAGAGCTGTTTTCTGCTTCAGCCCGAAGCAGCAGGGAAACATTCCTACTTTTATGATTGATTTTATGCATCAACTTGGCTAGACTATCAGGTGTAGCTGTAGATGTTGCTGCAAAGGCATTCTTAGGAGTGATTAGCATTTAACTTTGAATATCAGACTAGATTACCTTCCATAATGTGAGTGACTATCAAATCAGATATGAGTCACTATACCTACATGTTTATTCTTTGAAAGTTCTGTGTATATAATTCTTTGAACTTTGGAGGTGATTCTAGGAATTATTTATGCTTAGCTCCTTTAGCAGAGTGCTACTTTTAGAAAGCAAAAGCATTTGACCCAGTTAACCATTGTTTGTAAGAATGGCACCTAATAGAGGCAGTTTAATTAATACCTAGGTGGAGATTCAGCAACTTCTAGAATGCT